TATATATATATATATGGGGTATATAATGTTAACAAATAAGTATTATTAAATATTATGAGAAGTAAGTACAAGCATCCACTTGTGATATAAAATAATGAATGAAAGAGCATTCAAACATATGAACTCCTATATATTAAATACGAACTGATTATCTCATGCAAGAATATTTTTAGAGGTTTTTTTGACTATATGATTTTTTGAGATTATTTTAATTTTAATTTAATTTAATTTTTATTTATCATATTTATTTATGAATTAAATTTTAATATTTTAAAGTAAATTATCAACAAATAAAAATAATCTTGTTTTACAATACAAATTATTTATCATAAATCTAAAATTTAATTCATATAATTTAAAATATCAAATCATACAAATTTTAAATATAATTTATACATTCAAACATAATGTTTATTTTTGTATATAATTTATTATAAATTTTAATTATACATTTAATATGTATAATGTAGAAACTAAAATAATAATTACACATAAGGAAAAACTTGATTTTAATATAGTTTATTTTTTATAATAAAAAGTTTAAATTGGAGAAACACATGACCACATGCAACTACCAATCTCTTGTAAATTTTTAGTGGTATTATGGATCACTTACTTTATTCTTAGTGTAATGTATAGAAAGATATAAAATACTAAATAAAAAAATTTAAAAGTAATTAATTTTTTCATACACTTTCTATATTACATATATTTTATATCATTGTATTTGTTGGAATACAAACAAGTTTTACATCGATAAAATAAGACAAGAAATAACAACTTATATAACACAAACATACTTCAATGATTGAGAAACCTCATATTTCAATGATTGAGAGACCCTTTGGGTGATGACCAAATGCAAAACCGTAAAGACTTAGGCCCAAAACGGACAATATTTCATCATTGTGAAGTATGCTTGTGTAATAACCTTATAATAATAACTCTCATAAAATATCCCCTTAGACAAATACTATAAAATAACCCCATAGTGGTATTAGAGCTGCCTGGTTAGATACGGTAACAATCCTCATAAGTCATTATTAACATATAATGTGATATATAAAGACAGATTCCGCTACATGAAAGGTTAGGTCCCTTGTTTGAGGGGAGGATTGTTGGAATACAAACAAGTCTCACATCGATAAAATAAGACAAGAAATAATAACTTATTATAATAATAACTTATATAATACAAACATACTTTAATGATTGAAAGGCCTTTTGGGTGATGACCAAAAGTAAAACCGTGAGGACTTAGACTTAAGCGAACAATATCTCACCATTGTGGAGTATGCTTATATAATAATCTTAAAATAAATAACTCTTATAAAATATTCCCTTAAACAAATACCATAAAATAATTCCATCAGTATTGCATCACTAATGACTTTTTTTTTACCTGTTTTTTTTATGTATACCATTGCATTTCATTGTTTTTTAAGTAGTAACAAAAGTTGCATAAAAATATTTTGTAAATAGAATTGCTACAAGAAAAGATAAAAAATGGCAAGAAACAATGGGGGCACTGTTCAGAGTTTGATAGAGAGCCCTGAACAAAAAAGACAGGGAATGAAAAGTTCCTCGGTCGAACCAACATGGGAGGCAATTGCATTCTTGGTATCGGTTCATGTTTCACTTTACATATCCCCTCTAATGAGTCAAATACCATTTTTCATAACTAAAATTAATCTCCATTTTGGACACTCTCTCTCTCTCTCCTCTTGTATATATCTCAGAAGAAGGATTTGTGTTGCTTCTCTTTCCCTCTCTTGGGACCCAATAATCTGACATTTGAGAAGGAAGGGACAAAAGAGAGGTGGCCACCATATCCATATTTTCTCTCATTTACTTCTTTCACCCCCTACAACTCCATGTTCTACAAGAAAACTCTTTGTTCTTCCTCAAGTTACTGCATTTAATGCACATTTATTTCCTTGTTACTACAAATACTCGTGCTACCCTCCTACATTCTCCTTATCCCAAAACAAACACAATTTCAGGCTACATCTCATGTCAACTGCATATCTAGTTCTTCTTTTCTTTCTGTGCATTTCATTGCATGCATGTTGTGCTAGGCATCTCAGTCCTCTGAATAAGAAGCTGGAAGAGAAATCCCGCTTCTCTATCAAGGTTTGTATAATTTGTTTTATATGCTGATACTGAGAAACTATATGGTATCCTCATAAATTTAAGAATTTTGATACAGTTATTATCGTGATTCTTTTTTTTTTTTTTGTCCAAACTCATTCAGCTATTTATTAGCCCTATACAAAGCCGTTGAAATAGTATAGTAGTTAGATATATACTTTGTGTTTACATATTATGAGAACGGTTTATTTATTATAGAATTTTGTATTTGATTTTCATCTTGTACAAAAACTTTTTGAATCATCGGCAGTTACAAAACTGTAAATAATATTAGTCTCTGTCTCCATAGATTGAAAATACCTGTTAGGAGAAAAGAATATTTGCCCTATAAAATAATTGTACCAAGATTCTTACATTTTCTGGGTATCATAACAACACTCTTGATATAATAATGATATTTTCCTTTTATTAACCTTCATGCTTAAGTGTTATATGCCTCATTATGCTTTTCATTTTTTGCAGAGTGATGAGAAAAATGGATTTGAATCCTCTCCAAAGCAGCTTAATGAAGGTAATAATAACAAGACGGAGACTCGGTTGGTTGGTGATTCTGAGAAGCCAAGAAACCGAAGAAGCTATAACCATAGGGTGCACAAAGCTGCTATTGGAAAAGCTTCAGGTGCTTTAAAAAAGTCTCTTGTTACAGTTTCTTGGCATGTGCCTCACAATAATAAGAAACCCCGTCAGAAACACCCTGGTTTTGACTTGGATTACTCACCACCAAAGACACACCCTCCTCATCACAACTAAGCAACAATAAAGTGTCTATAAGCCCTCAATATTGAAGAGATCAATGAAGGCTGGGCCTCTCATTTTAGTTTGAAATGTTTAGTTTAACATATATATATGACTACAAGAACCTGATAACTGCTATATATGACTTTAAGCAATATTAAGTGTTCCTTCTTTTTTTTTTTTTTATCTCCTCTGATTTTATATATATGTAAAATGTACATCAGACATGTTCCAGCAGGAACATGCATATATATCTCCTGTGTCAGGTATATATAGATATTTATAGTTTATATAATTCTGAGAAGAATTAATTACTCGTGACTATATATAATTTATATATCCCTCGTCTTCTAGGTCTTCCTTTATTGACAGTTGACACCGTTATCCTCACTATAACTTCTCTTATCATAGTAATGACTGAATGAAGAGTTATGCTCTCTCACTCTGTCTCTTAATTTGTCTGTAAGATATGCTGATATACAGTATATATTACGTATAGTAGTAACCTAGTTATTGAGGGGATATTCTATTTTCTTCTTAACTGATTGATTTGTTGACATTCAAGCATAGCAAATACATACCATTGACACATCATCTCATGTCTCTCTATCACACACTCTTCTAGTTACTTTGATAACATTTTGATTTTTTTAATACAATGGTCACAATAAAATTAGAATTAAAGATTTAATGTATATTATTTTAACTCTATTATAATTATTAGGCGATCCTAGTGATTGAATCATATTATTATTAATTATATTAATTACTTATTTCATTTCTCTCTTCCAATCTCTATATGAATATTACACCTAAAGAAGTATTGAAAAATCATTTACCTAACTGATTACGTGAATGAAGCTGTAGCATTAAGATCGATATTAGAGAGATGATACTGATAATTAAGTGGCTTATATAGAAGTCAACCTACAGTGCATTAATTTCTTCATGGTCCTAACTAAGCAAGCTCAAATAAAAGTTTTTGAAGAAGAGGTTGTGATAAAATGCAAATTAATTTCACATCGATGCTTGTCTCAGAGTCCTAAAGGATCATTAAGCAAGAGAAAATACGAGAAGAGTGCAAAGGTGACAGGATTAATGTGTTAGTGTAGAGTAATCTCTCTCTCACACACATATATATATATATAAATAAATAATTGACACTCTTTATTTCTTCTCTCTTCCTAGTTGTCATCCATCTTTTTTTTAGTTTATATCTTGATAAAAGATTTATAATATCTTCTATTAAAGATAATTTTGTTTAAATTAAATAAAATTTATAAATTATAATTTTTTTTAGTATTTAATACAATTGCATATGTAAGATTTATACTCGAGATTTTAGTTTAATTAAAATAATTCTGTCCTGGTTGATCAATGCACTAGTGATTTTATTAGTTTTTATAGATGTGTATGGCCATGAGTGCTTTAGATACTTTTCCAACAAGTTCCTGAATCTGGAAATGCTCTCTTCAGAGTAGGAAATTTAACTTTATGCATTTCCTTCTTCCTTTTTGAAAAATTATTCCGGAGCATTCATACAATTGATGCATTGAAGATTACGTTGTAGTACGTTCTCGTATCACTATCATGTGAGGGGGTAGCAATTTTTTATTCAGTTGATAAGAATAAACCCAATAAATACAAGTTGATTCTAAGACGTTGGTAGTTGGTATTCTTAAATGAGAGAAAACGATAGCAATAGCTATAGGTCCCAACAAATCTTGAGCACATGGTTTTGGTATTTTTGCCGACTTCTTTTTCTCTTTTTCCCTTCTTTATTGCATACTAGATATATAACATTAATCAACACAATGAAATATTGTTCCAAACTAAGTATTATATATATAGTTTTTGTTTTTTAATGTTAAATTTAAAATGCTAACTCTACAAGCTTTAAATACCCATAAAATTACGTACTAGACTAAGAATGTATCGGGATTGGAAATACTACCCAACCAGGAGTAAATCATTTGTACACGACATGTGAGTTTTTTTTAAGAGTTTAGGTTTGATAAATTATGATATAAATATTTTTATATTGTAAATTAATTAAAAATTATTTTAAACATGTATTTTAAAATAATTATTATAAAAGACAACAGTTTTCAATTATATAACAATATATGATAAGATGACAATATTTCGGTATTATCTAATTAAATTCAATTGTAATATATTCCTATATTTATAAACATTTAATACATGGGCCATGTAAAAAATATTAGATTAATCCTAAATCTTCATATGATAAAGTTACATGAATTTGTGCATAAAAAAAATTTAAAAATATGTGTGTTCATATACTTAAGTAACAACCCAAAATCTCTCAAAAAAAAAAAAAAAAGTAACAACCCAAAAATGTACAAGCTAATTGCTCCCACACACATATTAAAGAAACGAACAACCCCAAGCGTGTGGTTCAGCGGTAGGGGTTGATCCACGCTTAAGCAAGGTCAGAAGTTCGAATCCTGCCTTGTGTATGCAGCCGCGTTAAATCTTGGGGCCATCTATCCCACCCTTTGAGGTGCCTCCAACGTAGCGAGGAGATTAGTCACTGCTGTCGGGACTTTATAAACGAACCAAAAAAAAATATATTAAAGAAACGAACTTGTCTTTCTTTGATGTCCTTTTCAATAAATGAAAAAGATACTTGAGATAAAAAATAATCCTAAAATATAATATATTACCAATAAAAAGAAATTTTTTAATAGTTTTTTTTCTTCAATTGACGGAAAAATAAACAAATAACAAAGACAAGTAACTGAACCTATGCTAAACCTAGATAAGTGGGGTACATATATATGAATGAGGCACCCGTGACTTTATAACTATCCGGGCAAGTCCAGGAAGTTTAATTTCAATTAGGTGGACAACATTTTATTTGGATCAATCTATTGCATATTTAGAAGAAATTAAACTCTTTTTATTATTTTAAAGATGATTAAATTATAACCTCCTTCATTAAAAATAAAAATGACATTATCTTCCCTTCCATTTTAAAAGAGTTAAAATTGAATCTATTTTAATATGAATATTTATTTTAAGAATAGTACTTTCTTTCTCTACAACTCTTAGTTTCACCAGCCACTTATTTGAATTAATCTCTAGCTATTATCAACATTGTGTAAATAAAATAAAATAAAATATAAAGTTGAGTGAAGTTCCAAACTTTAAGCTCCAGCATGCATGTCATCCAAGTCTATTACTTCTGTCTACACACACACAAAAAAGAAGAAGTCATGCACTGGTTATCAATATTGTTTATTTTTAATAAGTTAAGGACAAAATTTAAGTGAAATACCAAAGTGTAAAGTGGGAAACAAAAAAAAAAAACTATTTTATTGTATAGTTGGAAACTTTTTATAATTTTTGAATCATTACCATTGATCAATGCCTTAATGGTTTAGTGGGACTCAACTCAAGTATGAATGTAGCCAAAGCCAGGGTGTTCCGCACCTAGCAAGGGACACGAGATGCAACAGTTCCAAGTATGTCTCCTGTGGAAGTATGAATTGAACTGAGATGGAACACAAGATCCCAATAAAGACAAATTGGGATTGAGAAAAGGGAAACTAAACCAGTTTCTTGGAACTAGTGCAAGCATTCTCACACACATTCGAAGGAGACAAGAAGAAGAACGCGGAATTCCCAACAACATCATGGAAATCGTAGAATTTGCTACGTAGTAACATGCCACGGGACAACCTTTTTGAAGTGTCTTTGTCTCTCTCAAACTCATGGCTAGCTAGCTGACTTCCATTGATGGTGAATCCCGAAGAGAAATCCCGTGTCCGTCAAGTGCGCTCCATATTTCTGCCTCAAAATATGAACACAGGATAATATATATATATAGTGCCAAACCAAGAGCACTTATCCCACCTTAATTTAACATATTACATACCGAGATGGTATGATAAAGATGATCTTATTCTTTAAATATTAGGGCTTCTTTTCAGGTCAATGTCTAAAGAATGTTTATTTGGAAATATCCGTGCTTTAAATATATTTCAATATTTTTGGGGATTAACTTTTGACTCCCAACTAGGAAAAGTTATTTCATGTTCCTAGATTTTATGGTATTGTTGTGTATCGATAGTTTTTATACACATACACATGTCTTTATATTAATTAGTAAAAGAGTTAGTCATTTATATATTATTAGTGTAAAGTTTTTTTTACACTGATAACTAATTATATTCTTTAATTATGTCATGTCACTGTTAAAAGTAAATGTGTTTACAGTGACATGACACAATTAAAAGATATAATTGGTTGTCAGTGTCAAAAAACTTTACACTGACAGTGTATAGGTGATTATTTCTTAGTAAAATATTGTTTATTTTGAATTTAAGTCTTTATAATTTTATTTTTTATTATTATCTAAAAAATCTCTAACTAATGAAAATATATGTGTGTATATAAACTTATCTTCATCCTATTATTCTAACAATATGAGATTTTGATTGTATCTCAACATGTCTCAATTTATATTCAAGAAGGATATAATTAAGATTTTCAAATTATAAAAAAATTAAAAGTTTAAATTAAATATATTTTTAGTTCCTACAAAATGAGTTTATTTTTATTTTGGTCTCTATAAATTTTTTTATTTATTTTTCACCATTCTACAATTCAAAACTATTGTTTTAGTCCTTATTATTATGTCACTTTTTTTTTAAATTACTTTTATGTTCATTAAAAGGTTATATGATTATTTCAAACAGTATTCACAATTATCTGTGATATTTTATCATGTGACACTTTTAGATTTTTTTATTATAAATTCTTTAAATAACTTATATATATATATATATATATATATAGTATTATATTTAATAGTATATATTAGGCGTTACAGGTAATACTAGCTAGATTTTAACTTAACATCTCGAAATAATTATATCACTTTAATATATATATATATATATATATATATATATATATACCTTAAAATGGTTATTATAGACAAAAGAAATAGTGACTTTAAATTTTAGAAGAATGGAAATAAAAGAAAAATATTTTCAAGGATCAAAATCAAACTTTGTTTATTTTACTAGGACTAAAAATAGTTTACAAATTTTAAAATGACAAAAATATTTTTTTTTATAAAAATTAAAATCAAAATCGTATATTTTATAAAAATTAAAAACATATTTAAGGTAAAATTAAAATAGTTATTTCAAATTAGAAAAAAAAAACTTTGGAAGATAAGATAAATGTTTTTCCAAGCATTAATTCTTGCTATATGAATATGACCTCAAAGAAAAAACTTGTATAAAAAAA